ACCAACACGACCGGCATTTAAACTATGAGCCCCACCAGCAACATCAAGCAGAGGCCGATCCTCACTTTCCCGTCTCCCGCATTCATCTCTGGTAGACTGCTCAACGTCTTCTGATTCCAACAAGATACCCGGAATGCCCTTTGCCCGTTTTCTATTGGTCCACCACAAGAGGAGAAGCAACACCAACGGAAAACCAACAACATAAGAGAGGGCGACTTCGGCGGCGTGGTTATAAGAAACATGCTGTTGTGTTCGGCAATCAATCGAGTAATCAGCCCGAAGTCTAGTGACGCTTACAGAGTCGTCATCGTTTACATAAAAGAGTTGACATCCAGAGGGTAACAGGGTAAGTATCACACTGGACAAGCTTGGATAGGAAACAAAAAGCAGAATGACCACAAACAAGTAACACCTCTGCTTAGTTTTGGCTACAAGACCTGTTCGTTTTTCAACAGGCATATTCCTTGTCTTCAAGTAACACTTGGTTAAGCTGTAATAACAGCAGGCCGCGAACATAACGAGTGCCACAAAACTAGTGCCGACCAGGAACTCAATGTAGATATCAGGATAGGTGAATCTTGGGAAATAACATCTGGGACTGATAATTAACCGCATTATATTCACCTCCAGCAGCCTAAAGAGAGAGCCGACACTTGTCAGTATCCTCGGCCATGAAATTTCATCCAAAGCCGCGAATATCTCCCCCGTGACCTGGTAAAACCCCAGTAAAATTTTCCCTCGAGCCAGCAGCACGCTGACAGGAGACCGGCCTTTCTTTCGGCCCTTGCGTATTTGCCAAGCGGTGACTATAACGATCAACGCAATGACAGTCAACACTAGAAGGACCTCAAGGAGGAACCACCACCATTCCGGACATTTGAAGCAGTGGTCAAACCACGGGTAAAAAGACGGCCTGCACTGGGCGCAAAGCCACCCCGTGTAGCCTTCCGCACAGGTGACGTTAATACCACCCATCTCAGCGTTGACGCACGACTCACTACGAGGACATCGATGGACTTTAGGCAACACGCCTAGAAACCTCGTGGTCTCATTGTCGTATTCGTTGGTCTCTGTGAGCACATTTTGGACGAATTGTTGATAAGATTGATAGTTGTCAGCCCTGACCCAGTCCCAGGTCCACCAGAATCCAGGTAACAGATGTTGGTATTCACCCGAACAGTTGACTCCTTCGTTTGGGCAGAGTTGGCATTCACCGAACCTATCTGTACGGAAGAAGTTATCAAGACAAGGACAAGCACGAAAGCCAGCGTGGAGGCTTTTATTGGTGCCCGTTGGACACACCGTACAGTTGGCAGGACTGGTACCAGGATGGGCCTCTGGTGTAACGTAAGTCCCATTGTTGCATCTTTGGCAATTGATACCTTGAGAGGCGTTCGCTACTTGGCCGGTCTTGATTTGGTAAAATCCACCTGCATGTCAGGAAAACAAAATGTTGTAAAACTAGTTAATAGCAAATTCATTAGCAATCAAGAAATCGACAAACACACAAAAGAAATGTAAAACCTTTCGAAAACCTCAAAGCCAAAAGCCAAAACTAATTAAAAGAGATAAAATATCCACATGTAGTTTATGTCAATAGTTTCCAGACTGATTTAAAAGTTTTTGCTACAAGTGGTATGTGTTTTCATGTCAAATGATTATTTCTCCGAGAAAATGTTTGGTATGTTCAGTTATATCCCAAAGACCATATTTGACTTTTTTAAAGTAGTTGTCCCGCTTTTTCTCAATGTTACTTCCAGCATACGCTTCATGAGTATAGGAATTTACGTCACAGTTCTCTTAATGTTAGAATATTACCTAAGGTATTGCGCGGCGATATCTTTTTCTGTGAGGCTTTATACCTGGAGGGCATGTTATGCAACAGCTGTTTGTCCGCGAAGTTCCAAATGTGCCCTGGGGGCACGGTGTGCACTCCCACTGTCCTTTCTGGTGCCATCTACAGTTAAATCCCGACTGGGTAAAAATCTCTGCTAGATCCTTGGTCACGATTATCTGTTGGGCGAATCCGTTGCCAACTAATTCACTGCATGAGAATGACAGTTTGGAAGAATTAAAAGATGTCACTGATCTTGGGTCCTGTTTACTAGAGAGGGGCATCACAGTGGGTTTGTTCTGCAACTTTTGCAAACGAGGAAAGTCAAATTGATATGAGAAGAAATGTGTCTTGTAGGCTAAGGTGTAGGAAGCATGTCAGCAGTACACTGTTTGCTTAAGTTGTAGTTTCATAATTATTAACAGATATTTCACCCTCCCTCTATTACTCACATTTTGACATCATTTCTGTTCGTTACTGGCGCAAATTCTAAGATGTTCTCGATTGCTCTGAAAAAGAGGAGAATAAATGGTCTGTGATATATATTGTAACTGCAGCTGACACTGTTGTTAATTAAACAGATTGTGATTTTTAATGATTTTAATGATCATGATTTTTAATCATGACCTTTTGTTTTGTTCCAAAGACCCTTGGAATTTTTTTTTAATATTTTTGATATAGATTAGATTAGATAAGAT